ATTATTATTAAATCATAAGATAGAACGGGGAGAGTTCATAAAGACGGTCACGCTATTCAGTTGAGTTGAGTTGTCCAAGTATCATAATGACAGTAAAGTAAAGCTTACCATTTTTTATATATTTTCTCTAAGTATATTTTATTTGCCAAAAAATATTCCTTTTACATTTCTCCTACGTAAATTGAAGACTTGCAGTAAATATTGTTCTAAGTGCCAAAATCATTATTTCGAGATAAACAACATTTTTTGTCTCATAACCAATGTATAAGAACGGACGGTGGTCTCTGTTGAGAATTTTTTTCAATACAATTTAATAGCCGTGGCACTTCACCGCTTTATACAGGGTGGCCCATCGAAAACGTTCCGCAAGGCATAACGGCCAGGGTAAATTTTTTTTCAGAAAATTCAAAAACATGTCAATTTTGTTTGTGAGGGGGACAACTTTTGCGCCAAAAATGATTGCAAAATCTTCAACCCTTTAAGGAGGGGTGTCATCCCCCAACTTTTTTCAAATGGGAAGGGGGGTCAAGTGATACCGCAATGAAAAGAGCTTTTTATTCTCTATACTTTCCCGCTACGTTTTTGAAAATCGGTCGAGTCATTGAGAAAATATGAAGGATTGAAATTTGAAAAGTTTATTTAAACATTTATCAGAGTAAATGATAAGGATAAATTCCTTCAACCAATTTGCTGTTTTTTCTTATTATTTCTAGATGTTTACGCATTTTTTCACTTGCCACGAGGTTGAAGGATCAGGTGGGGTAGTTGCTAGATAGCTGTTCTGTGACTTGTGCGTTGAAGTTTTTCTCCATATCGTTAAACTTTTTAACAATTATGGTGTACTCACTTGCAGAAAAAGTAGAAAAAATCGAACTTTATTTTAAAAATAATGAATGTAGCAATCGGGTTCCGCAGATATTCAATGAATGCCATCCTGAAAAACACCTTTATGGCAAAATTGTTCGCGAGTTAGTAGCAAAATTTCGCGAAACTGGTTCTGTTATGAATAAAAAGAGGCATAGGGAAAACCCTGTAGTAAATGAATCTATTGAGGTATTCATATTGGGCCAAATTGCCATGGATAGTACGCTGAGTACAAGTAAATTAGCCAATGCAAAATTAGCCGGCGTGAATTGTACCAGTGTCCAAAGGATATTAAAAAAACACAAGTTCCACCCGTACAAAATTCAGTTTGTACAAGAACTCAACGAAGACGATTTTGATCGTCGCTTGCAATTTTGTGAAACTGTGAGTGAACGAGTGGCGAATGATAATAATTTCCTATTTAATGTGTGTTTTTCGGATGAGTGTACTTTCTTTTTGAAGGGTGTAGTTAATCGGCATAACTGTCGGTACTGGGCTGAGGACAACCCCAGGGTTTTTCACGAGGTGCACACACAAAACCCTCAGAAATTGAACGTGTGGGCTGGTATTTTTGGAAATTCTATTTTAGGTCAGTTTAACGAAATTGAGAAGAACTTCAACGCACAAGTCACAGAACAGCTATCTAGCAACTGCCGCACCTGATCGTTCAACCTTGTGGCAAGTGAAAAAATGTGTAAACATCTAGAAATAATAAGAAAAAACATAAATGTTTAAATAAACTTTTCAAATTTCAATCCTTCATATTTTCTCAATGACTCGACCGATTTTCAAAAACGAAGCGGGAAAGTATAGAGAATAAAAAGCCCTTTTCATTGCGGTACTACTTGACCCCCCTTCCTATAAAAAAGTTGGGGGATGACACCCCCGCTTAGAGGGTTGAAGATTTTGCAATAATTTTTGGGGCAAAAGTTGTCCCCCTCACAAACAAAATTGACGTGTTTTTGGATTTTTTGAAAAAAAAATATCCTGGCCGTTATGCCTTGCGGAACGTTTTCGATGGGCCACCCTGTATATTATGTTGTTTGTTATGGAACTTAGGATATTTTACAAATAAAACTTGACAAACTGTTTTTTGGCACTTAAAACATTATTTACTCAAGCCTTCAATTAATGTACCTATCTAATTCTACACTCAGATGCAAAAAAACGCAACCGGGAAAATTTTGGTCAAATTTAAAGTGTTATATTTTTTTATTTTTAGCGCTATTTTCATGATTTTTTTAGCAAGCTGTATATACATATAGTTATTTCACATTTTATTCGTAACCTCAGTTTTTTATAAACTTTAGTATTTGGCATATAATACAGGGTTAATCGTGGGGTTGTTTTTTTACCCTATTTTTAAAACACCCTGTGCAATAATGTCGTGTGTAAATTTTCCTAAAATATAATTTTACGATTAGAACCATGTTTTCTGAGTATTTTATTTTTTTGATCATGTCAATACATGCCTTGGTTAATCTTTAAGAGCGAAATGAGCTTGCCACCAACATTTTGTAATTTTTTCAACTATCATTTCTTTTTTGAAATTATTTTTCAATGTGACAAGGCGGCTTTATGAACTATATACTACTATGAACTGCCCATCATGTTCGACATCAAGACTCCCGATGGCAAATGCTTGGCGGGAGGGCTAGAGGTCGCGAAGCAGTACCAGTTTCATTAAATGAACTTCGCTTCTTCCTTAAAGATGAATGAGAAAACATAACGAAATATGACATATCGTCGGCTTTATGACCAAAAGGCGTATCTCGATTTTTGGCGATTTTGAGATATCAACGTCATGACATGCCCAATGGGTCATATTTTAACATAGCGAATTTGCGCATCTCAATATTGTACCTTTTTCATTTTATATTCGTTTAAAAATTTGCCCCATCTCAGATACTACAATTCTTCGTTAGGACGAAGAGACGTATGTTGAGATAGGGCTCTTTGTTATATCAATTGTTATACTACAAGAAAGATGGAATTTGAGATAGGTCCTTTTGTTTTAAGTTATGAAAATGCCTGCGAGAGAAAATCACATCATTCTACCTAATTATTTTCTGATGGTTGCTTGGGACAAAATAAAACTTCTATCATGGCAGCAGCTCTCTTTTACAGTGTGATTTTGAGTCTGTTTTTTACCAAAAACTATTGTTAGAATGAGCTAGACTCTGCACATAGCTGTATCGGGTATGCAAAAATTGTCCGAGAATAAATGGCCGAAGAAAAATTGATCGAAAGCAAAACAACGAAACGAAAATTGCCCTAATGGAAAATTTCCCGAAATCATAATTTCCCTAAGAACATTTTAGCGAACCAAAAACTTGTCCGAAAAATACAATAATTTTCATCTCATTATCATTGTCAAGCCATTGGCATTGTCATCCCTGCCAATTTTTAGAAAATTTTATTTATTGTGCCTATCATCATCCAGTATAAAAACGTAGAATGGAAGTCGAATTTGTTATCATTGAACAGGGAAAACAGAAACTGTTACTCCACAGTTATTTGTATCAAAAAGGCACGAATGAAGAAACATGTTTTGTTTTTGTTTAGTTTGGTTTTTATTAAATGGACCGTGAGTTTAAATGCCTTGTATTAATGCCTCAATTAACTAATTAATGACTCAAAATATATTAGTTAAAATATATATTTTTGTATAAAAAGCAATATTATTAAAATAAGCTAGATAAGAGTATTTTAATTGATTATTATTGTCTTTGCTTCTGAAATGAAAACTGTCTTTGTTTTCAGTTGATCTAATCCAACGTGAATAAAAGTTTTTAAAAATATTTGTTTCTGATTTTTTGGTGATCTTCAGATTTTTTCTTGTATGTATGTATTGTATTTTCTTGTATGTATTCCATAATATGAATATTGTATTTTTTTTTCCTTTTAAGAACACTTTATCATCATTTTTAAATTTATTTAACATGGGCGTATGTATACTATTCGTTCGGAAATAAATTTATTATTATTATAACAAACAGACCTATCTCTATTAAACAACTAAAAATAAATTATTTATTAGAATTTACTCTCAGTTTATCTTCAGAACGTTTCCTCAATGTCTCCGTTTAAGTGTTAATACAAAAACACTATTAAAAAATTAAAGACTTTACATTTATTGGCCAAATAAAGTAAGTGATTTTCTTTAAACTGCTCTCCTGAAAAGTAGCAAAAATCGAGACACGCCTTTTCGTCATAAAGCCAACGATATGCACCCTCAATGACAGTGTGAACGGACGTATACAGGCAGTTATAGCAGCCAAGGGTACAAAGTATTAGGGTAATTTTTACAATTTCTTTTTCTGTTTGTATACTTGAGTATTACAGATGTTTTCTTTAATATCGTTAGTTCTGTTATCGTTATTAATGTTTATTAAAACCCGGACTCTGTTTCGTTAGCCTATAGCGTTTTTTTTTAAATTAGTATAGAGTATCCAATGCAGTGTAATATTACGTTACGACAATAGCCACCAAAACCATCTCGTCATATTAAAAAATTACATCAAAAAGTAATGATAATAATTAGAAAAATGCAAATTGGTCGTTATCAGTTCATTTCGCTCTTAAAAATTAACCAAAGTATGTATTGACATGAATCCAAAACCAAAATGCGCAGGAGTCATGGTTCTGACCGTAAAATTATATTTTATAAAAATTTGCACACGAAATTATTGCACATAGTGTTTTAAAGTTAAGGTAAAAAACACCTCGATTAACCCTGTATAATATGCCAAATATTAAAGTTTATAAAAAGCTGAATTTAGGAATTAAACTTGATATAATTATATACAGTTTATTAAAAAATTCACGAAAATAGGACTAAAAATAACAAAAATATAACACTTTAAGTTTAATGAAAAATTTCTCCGTTGCTTTTTTTGCATTTGTTGTTTTAATGATCTTCGATACCTAAAACGTCCCTAGCCGCAACCCTTTAAAACACGGTCCCGACAATACTATCGACAAATTGGTCTCTGTTGGATCAGCGCCAGCGGTGTGGTTTATACAAAAAATATATTTTTTTTATTGTGTAGAATTTTTTCTAGAGGTGAAAAGTATTTTCAAGAAATGAACCCGCCACAAAGGTATACACATTATTTAAAATATTTGGTACTTACCGATTTAATTTGGCTATTAATTATTTTTGACACTCCCCACAGCATAAAAAACAAAACACCGGCAAGCAGCAAAGCCGCAAGTACAGTCCACGCAAATATATATTTTAGGGAACAACACTTCAACTTCATTATTAACCGTTATTAGTATTTTATGGTTTAAAAATTCGCCAATTTTTTTATCGTTATCAGTTTAACGATTAAAAATATGTTTTCTGTCTGTCAGGTGTGAAGATCAAAAAGGAACTGGACTCAATTTTTCACCTGTAGTAATCACCCGTTTATCTCCAAAACATTTCTAAGATAGAATTATTGAGTGTTATCTTAAAACAATAGTTGAATGAATAATATTTCTAATAGCATAAATAATATAACAGATGTTATTGAACTATGAACACTTTTTCCATTTTTTTTTCCACTCGATAAAAAATCCAATCATTTAGAAAGATTTTCAAATAGTTCAATAAATAAATTCAGAATAAGCCAATGCAACAAGGTGTAGGCTTGGTGCATTCTCCGCTGGTGCTGCCACCACCGGAGGATATCGTAAACAATCGCTATATACAAATACACGGGTTTAAATAGCGAATATACGAAAAAAAGTTTATATAATTATTCTATAAGTGTTAGGAAGTATAATTTGTGAAAATTCTAAAAAAAATAAAAAAGTAAATATTTTGGTGTCATCAAAAGGTCTAAGTTGTATTATAATTTATTATTGAAACTAATAAAACTTTTTAGATCAGTTCAACTACGGTAGTGAGCATAGTTTTACGCACCGGTTTTGCTAGTGGGGACATAATTTGGGCTATTTCGGCTATACCGAAATTTTTTGAAGGTACATTATAAAAATTTTTGAAGATTTTCACAAAAAAATTAAGCACTGGTTGATTAAAAAAAGAATATACCATTAATATTGCAAATTATATTTTATTCTCTCATCGTATATGTCTATTTAATTTTTTGTTTATGTAATGGGCGCTTTGTCTATACTCACTTGTTTCGCCGAACTGCTTGAATCCATTTTGTTTTTGATCAAATCGGTTTGAGAAGCTGTGAAGCTATAAAATGTTGATTCGGGAGAGTTGAGTTATTGAATGTTATTGCACTCAACAACCACGTAATTACGCCCTCCTTTACGCGTTAACATTTTTTCGGCAATTTTATTAACATTTGAAATTGTCAAAACACAACGTGACGCCCAGTTCGAGTTCTTTTTCACTTAATTTTTATTACCCGAAACAATGTTACATCAAACAAACCTGGTACCTGAGTGTTTTATGATTTCAATAACTGCACTAGCTTAAAACTAAAGCAGAGTTTACACTGTGTCACTTTGTTCAGTTCACTCAGTTCGCAGCAGTTCACTGTTTCATCTTTCGCAGGCTGCCACCTCTCCCAGTTTTTTCTATATCGAGATTGGCCCTAAGGGTTGGCCGCACGGGTCGGCGTCGGCTGTTTACATTTTTCACTTGCCGTTCAATCTGGATGAATCAACGCTTCTTTCAACAAAAGTAGGAAGACCGTCAACTTGTTTCATCGTTCAATTTTAGTGTACACTTTGGATGAAACAGTGATGAAAGGCAATTTATATTTATCACTTTGGATGATTCATCCAAGTTGTACATCCAAAGTGAGAAATGTAAATGAGCCTTTAAGCAGAGTTTACACTGTGTCACTTTGGATGTAAAACCAAAATGAATCACTCAGATTGAATTCATCCAAATTGAACATCCTTGTTTACATATTTTCATCCTTGTTACATACTTTCATCCAGAAGACGGTCGATATGTCGAACACCTGAAGCAAAATATCATGCTTTGGTTTGCTATTTATTTTTATTGTTATTAGATATATAAAATTCTGCATCTCTCATAGCAAATATTATTTTCGTTTTAATTGGTCCTCACAGCTAGATTTTTTTGCATTACAGCCGGTGCCGTTTAAAGCCTACTTATTTAAAGCGGGCGAATTTTTATATACTCTATATCTCGAAGAGGAATCGAGCAAAATATCAAGTGTGTTATATTTTTGGAAAGGTAATTTTAAATTATTTTCAATAAATTAAAAATATACTTAAATATTTTAGCAGAGTTTACACTGTGTCACTTTGAATGTACAACCAAAATGAATCACGCAGATTGAATTCATCCAAATTGAACATCCTTGTTTACATATTTTCATCCAGTTCGTAGAAGTTCACTGTTTTATCTTCCGCAGGCTGCGACCTCTCCCAGTGTTTTCTATATCGAGGTTGGCCGCACGGGTCGGCGTCGGCTGTTTACATTTTTCACTTGCCGTTCAATCTGGATGAATCAACGGTTCATTGAACGCTTCTTTCAACAAAAGTAGGAAGACCGTCAACTTGTTTCATCGTTCAATTTTAGTGTATACTTTGAATGAAACAGTGATGAAAGGCAATTTATATTTATCACTTTGGATGATTCATCCAAGTTGTACATCCAAAGTGACAAATGTAAATGAGCCTTTAGATACTTAAATATTGTGACAAAGGTACGATTTCAATATTATTTTAATGTGATAATGAACTGTAAGCGGGATGGCGTGAAATACATAGCGAAAATTTCTGATTTCTGCCGTAAAGAGCGCTGCGGTCGGAATTTTTTGAAATCAACTGAAATACACCAAACCTATTTTATTTTTTTACAATTCATTGCGATACAGTTGGTTATAGTTGGGTTAGTACCGAAAAAACAAACTCTCTAGAAGTCCTTTGTTTTAAATTTGTTGGCAAACAAAACTGTTTCACAAAATTTATTTACAATCAGGACAATTTTAAATCTGGACTTTCTTTGTCATTGATATGAATATACGGATGGAATAGATAGGGGAGTGGAGATATTCCTCTTTTATTTAACACACGTGCATTACACAAAAAAACATCCATATCACAAAAATAATCAATGCAGATACACAAACATTGACTATATTCAAAGAGCAACTTGAGCCTTAAAAATGCTTCATATTCCTTCAATCTCACAAAAATCCAGATCTTGTGAAAAATCACCATATTCAGTGTATTTTGCTTATTTTGTAATTAGGAGAAAATTTCTAAAAACTTATTTCTGGTAATTTTTAGACACCGATATATTTAAATAAACTTTTTACTAAAAAAATTACACTATCAAAAATGCTGTGATAGATATTTGACAGCAGTATTAAGTAGCAGTAATAAGTATGTTTCAAAAAATTCATTGCTTACAATGACTGCTTGAACCGAGAATAGTTTAAGAGTGCAAGACGCCATGATCAGGTGACTTATTAGATATCTTTGTTTTCCGTTCATCTATTTTTTTTTCAGAATTAAGAACTTTGGTTTAATTATGGAATGTGTGTAATAAGACCTATTGAAAGATAAAAATGTATGTAGTATTTTTTTGTTAAATGTTAAAATCTGTCGAATTGCGGACTTTTTGTCAGCAACATTACTTTAAACTCAGGCATCCTTAATTAAACACTGTTAGAGTGAAAAAATATAAATGTAGGAAAAAGAATAAATAGTCCTACTACATATTTTAACAATTTTTATTGTTACACTTGAGGGTTGGAACCTTTGGTGTTACACAGCAAAATAAAAACACTAAATCACCACAATACACCAAAACACTTTTAGTTTTACACTGGACGCGCGTTTCGCTAACCATGTTAGCATCATCAGCAGATGATCATAAACTAAAGTACAATCTACAAGTTGAGCGTTTATATAGTCGCTCAGTGGGCACCGAATGGGCGTGGCAAAATCTAGCCAACCGAGTCAGAGCTCACTGAGCGTAACAGTTAGATTTCCGCCACTAGAGTAGTAGGAACAAAGAACTTGAAGTAATTGGACCGTTGTCTCTGTTCATACTATCTTACATTTATTAATTCTGATGCTTTCATATGCATCTAATTGCCTGTAATTTGAGACTTGTTTAATTAATTTTAAATTATTAAGATCTATACAATGTTCTTTATCAACAATATGTTCGGCAACGCAAGATTTATCCGGTCTACCAAATCTTATCTGAGCTAAATATATGTTCTTTAAATCTAGATAATATTGATCTTCTAGTTTGCCCAACATATTTCTGATTACAATCTTTACAAGAAATTTCATAAATACCCGACCTTTCCAGAAATGAAAGCATCAGAATTAATAAATGTAAAGATAGTATGAACAGAGACAACGGTCCAGTTCCTTCAAGTTCTTTGTTCCTACTCCTCTAGTGGCGGAAATCTAACTGTTACGCTCAGTGGGCTCTGACTCGGTTAGCTAAATTTTGCCACGCCCACTCGGTGCCCACTGAGCGAGTATATAAACGCTCAATTTGTAGATTGTACTTTAGTTTATAATCATCTGCTGATGATGCTAACATGGTTAGCAAGTAAAAGTGTTTTGGTGTATTGTGGTGATTTAGTGTTTTTATTTTGCAATTTTTATTGTGCAAAACTGCCAAAACCCTTCATATTGTCTTCTTTTTGGATAAAAATCCTTCAGCCCTATTATAATCGACAAGATTTGACTGTAAAATCATATTCATATTGAAGAAAATCCTTCAATTCTGGTGGTAACACTGGTATAGGGGTTGAATAAAACATGGCAAATTTCTATACCCCCCCCTCCCTCTTCAACTACGGCTATGTCTCTAACCATAGAAATATTATTTCGCTTAGATATTTAAAAATATATTTTTAAAAAGATTATGTTATAACATAATATGTATGTAATTAAAAATTTGCAAAATAATCAATACAATGATTTAATCTATATATCTTATTTGTTTAGGTGCGGCTGTAAGTTGTTTTTTTATAAGCGTCTATGTCAAAAATTTCTAACAAATATGCTAAATTAATTTAAGTCATATTATAGAATTTATACAGGGTGACAATTTGAAAACGAACAGTATTTAATATTACCTCTACCGATGATAGTATAAAAATTTGGCGAAATACGTCAATTTACATATCAAGGGGGACATTTTTGAGGCATTGGTTGTCGTGTTACTTTCAACCCTTTGAAGCCCAGGGCACCTACCCCTAAAATTTTAAACGGTAACCCCTATTTCTTTTGCCATTTTTGTGTTCCTTATAAAATTCTACATAAACTGCATTATTATTTTGTCAAAATTGTGATACATAACCTCACAAATGAATGAGAAATGTATTTAATATCTAATTTTAAAACGGATTGCATTCACCGCCTCATAGAACTTCATTTAAAAATGTTTGTACTTACCAATACTATACGTTCCAAATTCCTTTATTTATTTACATTTCGTCTTCGATATCGCTACTAC